GCAGTAATCGCCATTCGCCGTCTCACACCACGCAGTGAGCATGGCAGGCAGATATGGCCAGAGGGCACTACTTGGGTTCACCCGCCACTGGCTGCGAGACAACCATTGAGCAAATACGAGATTTGCGCTGTTCCTCCTGGGACAGACACAATCGATGACCCTCCTGGGATTGCCCCAACTGGCGTGGCCTACGACACGGCTCAGCAGACACAGACACAGTCCGCCTCAGCATCATCGGCCCAGCGGCCAATCGCCCCTCAGCTGGGGGCGACCCCCGCTGGCCACACATCTGACGCCGACGCTTTAGATGAGACGATGGTCCGTGCTATAGTCAACAGTTGTGGGCACAACACACAGGATAAATAATGGTTGATAGCTATACCACATTGCAGAGAGGCCCTGCGACCCATCACATCAAATATTACACAGAAAGATTGGGGTCGAAGGCCTATCTTCAATGATGTTTGCATGGGGGACTTCGTTATCGTCAAAAATTGTGGCTCTACCAATTGCTACCACTATGACAATGACTTCCCCAAGGGCGACTACAATGCGAAGGTGCGCATGAACAAGGGCCATATTTATGGACCAATCATCTATGTCGGAGTCTCCGAGAAATTCTTTGCGGTACAAATACCTATTCTCAACTACGGTTTACGATGGGTAAACATATGGTACTGCGACAAAAACATGCCCCTCATGGGCGTTGTCTTCGCTTTGCCAGTACGTGCCGGCATCGACTCGAGCCACATGAATGTTGCACTTGAGGGCCCCTCTTCATGCAGCGACCAGATCTATAAGTATAAAGAATCACGTGATCTACCATATCTTGGAATGCCGAGCATTTACAAACCACGTATCCCACGTGCGCCGACCAGACGCCCCGCTCCTCGGACACCCGATCCCGACGAGCTGGTGGCAATACCTGCCGAGGCTCCCACAGCAGACGACGAGGGATCCCGACAAGAGGCAGGCCAATCCAAAGAGCCTCTGGTAATTGTCATTGTGGATATATCGACTATACCACTCACAGATGAGGAGAAAGCAGCCAATGATACCATGAAGGCGGATTGGTCGGCAGAAATTCACGCTGATGAGGACATCGGCTCGAGCATCATTGATCATATTATGGACCCGCCAGAGGATTTCCTCAACCACCCCGACTATGAGCCAGAGGATGGTACAATATGGATCTTGCAATCCTACGACCACCGCATATACCGCTGGACGTCGGAGATGTTGGTGGACTCACCAATGATAAAGGTAAAGCAAATTATTGAAGTACACACTGGCAGGACCAACATCGCGGTGGACAAGGTAGAGTCATACTTACGATTTGAGATACAATTTTGACCAAAAACTGACGTATACCAAATGGATTACAATCGTACCCACAAATGGGCACGCGACAAACCGATTTGCAGTGCAAATTGTTTCTTTAAAAAGATGGTACACTACCTGGGTCCGGGAGTCATCGAGGAGTCGACCACAGGCATCTTCCATTGGAATTCCAAAGTGTACCAAATCATATTGTTGGACAGCATCAAGGAGCTACGTGATTTCACAAATGGTGCTATCTATCAGAACCAGCCTGCCCTCAATACGTTGCGTGATCTCTTCGCAAATTGCATCCAGACACACGGCAACCCAGGCTTCCCCGCATGGAGGGAGCCGGTGGAGACACCTGCCGCGCCTGACCAGGACGACCCAGGCGCCGAGCAGGATATCCCCAGGGACCCAGGCAGCGTTGCTTCCGCAGCACCTGACCAAGAAACCATGGTACAGATCATAGCCGATAAAAAGAAGATTGACCGCAAGGCGGGCGACAATGAGGCCATCTTGCAGGCAGAGGCTACCCGCATCCGTACGGACAACATACACCATGGTGCTACTGATATTGCGGACACAGACACCTCCGGGTACGCAGGACTACCGGGGGAAAGACTGTCTAGGATCGAGATCGAGGGGGCCGGCCGATCGATCGCCTCACGCCCGACCGCTGAGATCAATCGTTATGCCATGGACCAAGTGGGCCGTGTTCTCGCCAGCGGCCTTGACACCCGCTGGGGATCTCGCGAGCACCTTGCGATCTCTGGGGCCCCTGAAGAGATCCAGCATGATATAGCGCGATGTCGGACTTGCGATTGTCTTCTATCTCTCGGAATCGTCACAGGTGACGGTACAATTTGTGACATCTGCTGGCAGTACACTGTCGCTGTAGGTGCTACCGGCAAAGGTGGCGCCGCCGAGAGCGACCTTGCATACCTCCAGAAGTTGACCCACTGGATCAAGACGACCCTCTCCCGGGACGACATCACAAGGTATATGACAGATGGAGCGCATGTCCAGATGATGGGCAAGCGCTCCATAGCTGGTCAGGAAAAGGATACCTTGAGGAGATTCGCGAAGAAAGCTGCGGAGAGGTATCAGAAGTGGGTCGACGCAGGCTCCCCTCCTGCACACATGTGCAGGCTGATGGGTGAGACTGAGGACGACAGACCTCTATGCCACCCCTTCGCCAATCTCGTTCAGCGTTTCCTGAGCGATGTGCGGTTCCACCGCCAAATGACAGCCGCTCGCGCTGAGACTGGCAAAAAGGCCTTCACCGTCGAAGACATGCGTGATGCTCGTGATATTCACGATCACAGCGTCAGGCAGGGCTTTGCTGGTCGGAGGAAGTGGTGGTTGAACGCAGGTAGACTCGATAGAGGCACTAGGCAAGAGCGTGGACTTATCACAATTGCCCTTCCCCGCGGGGATGGCACTTGCGAGAAAGTCGCGCAGCGGAAGCTTGCCGCACTAGCCTCCATCGAACTTGCCGTGGGTTCTGCAAATCAAAGGGGGGTGCGTTCAGGGATTAGAGCCGATCCGATCGATCCTGATACACACTCTTCACATTCACATGGCGCCATGGAGCCGCGGCAGCCGCGGCGCCCGCCGCCGCCGCGCCCTGCTCCTGGCGACGCTGCTGGATCCCGCGCCTCTGGCGCGCAGGATGACACGCCCGCTGGGCCGCGCGGTGCCGCCGCGCAGCGGCAGAGCAGCGATGCCAGCCGCAGACCAACAACGCCCCCTCGTGCCAAGAGGGCGCGCAGGACAGAGGACTACGCGACGCGGTGGCGCAAGAACCTAGAGGGGAGCCAGTGGGGCCCCAGATGCTGGGGCTACTATGCCAAATGCTGGATATACATCGCGGACAACAATGATGAGTTCGTGTACGTCCGCGACTTGCTGCACAACGATAGGTTTCGCCACTGGGCCCCCAGGGCGCCCTGGGAGACTTTCGCGACGAGCTGCGTCGCGGAGGATGGCCGCAGGGCGTGGGGCCAGAGATTCTACGCGAGAGGCAACACGTAGTCTAGTCGGCCGCAAGGCCCACCGCTCGATTGGCATGAACTTCATATTTATGCAAGTTCGCCTCGAGCGGTGAATAACAATATAATCTTAGGCCACTTCACTATTCAAGAAAAGTGGCCATACTTATACATGTGAAACCCAAGGCAGCCTCCTCAGGGACAACGCCGATGGGGAGTAACAAATTGCAGAATTTGTTTACGCAGCTTTTCGTGTTTGTCAACACGTCTTTACGCATGGCCATGCACTTTTTGCTGTGAGATTTAGACGTGCTTCTTAACGCGATCGTGTTCATCAACACGACTTCATAATGCGTTTTTTTTTGTTTTTGCATTACATTGCGTTGAGAATGATATGATGCCCAGCTCTCGCTGGAGAGCCGGTGGCAACACCTGCCGCGCTCAGGCGCGGCAGCTTTTGATGTTGCTTTAATTTGATCCGATCCTCTTGCTCCGCCCACCCGTGTCTCATTCTTCTCCGCCCTCGAGTGCCGAAGCGTTTTTTTTGGGGGCGCGCCGAGGGGGCACCAAAGTATGCTTGGCGAAGAAACAGGGGCCCTGGGTGTTCCTTCTTACCTTTTCTTGCCTATTCGTGACAGCCTTGTGCTGCGTTTGCTTTTGCACACCGCTGTCGCGATTGGGGCGCAGCTTAAGCGATGCAGATTTCAAGCTCAGCTGCCCTGCAGACCCGAGGATTCGAGGAGTAAAAGGGTGACGGGTTCTTTTCTCCTGTTCCCGAGTCCTGCCCTCGCGGACGGGATTCGGGACGGGGGGCGTGAATAGAACCCGTATAATACCCTCATATATACTCCTTATCCTCACCTCTCCAGCGCCTGGCCGTTTGGGCTCAGCTATTGGACTAGATCGATCAGACCTTTGATCGTGCAGGAGGAAAAGATATCCATCTTGCCCTCCTTTCCTCTACCAGCGGATCAGGGGTTCTGTACCTTTGTGCTCTAACCCCATACACAACGTCCGCCCGCCAGCGGGGGAGGGGTCAAAGAGAAGGGGTGCCCCTTCGACTCGGTTGCGACATTGCCAAATTTTGCTTTCGCTGACAAGCTTGCGGAGAAGGGCGCAAAGAAAGGGGGCGACGGAGGCGACGGCTGACGGAGACGACGAATCGAACATACAATACCCTCACGCACGCTGACAGAGTTGAACAGTTGGTGGATTCGATCTAATCCTCTTCTTCTACCTGGGAGGAGCGGGAAGCGACGAGGGAAAGGGCGGAGGAGCACTCTGGCGACATCGGCCATCTGTCCCGCGGGGGGCACCAGAAATGTTGTTTGAATTGAGGCGCGAACGGATGCCGCTGGTGGAACCTCCACACCGGAAGCCGTTGTTGTGTTTCCTTTTTGTGCTGTCGTCCCCTGCGGAAGCGAGGCTCCGACTTGACGTGTTTTTTATGGCACCTTTCATGTCCAACACACGGTTCGAAGACTTCATGCCCCCCATCAGCTCCGAAGCCGTTGTTCGAGATCCTTGCTTCTCAAAGTAACCACGGTTTAGCTTCAACTCGGCCGAAGCACTATGTTGATTCCTGCTTGGAAGTTCTAGTTTCTCACATTCCTTCACACGTCTCCCCGTCCATCCGAAACTTCCTCCTCTTCATCTTCATTTTCCTCCGCAGCCTCCCTACCGCAGGACCATGGCCAACATGGTCTCTTTCGTTTCCAAGAATTCGGATCAGCGCTGGGGCCAGAAGACCCCGGTGGCAGCCTGGGGGGTGGGTGTGCATGGACGTCAGGCAGGGAGGCCTGGGGGCGCTCTCTTTTCGGTCAAGGAGGGGGGGAAGGGAGGACGAGGATAGGTTTTCTGAGGTTCTTGCAATTTGGGGATTTCCCCATTCCCTCAGAGGCTAGTGGGCAGTGGGAATCTCTGGACAGCACGGCTGGCGCACTCGTGGCCGAAAGGTTTTCGAACGTCTTTTTTGGCACACTGGCGGCCTTGTCAGGCTGGCGCAGGCTGCCCACGCTCGGCCACCGCTCGGCCTGCAGCACCGAAGCTGCACCAACGAGGGTGGTTCTCGGACCCCCTCGTCGGGCGGGGCCAGGACCAGGATAAATCGATGCAGAGCGTTCTGGAACGCGCACGGCGCGTCCTGGAGCGCTCTGGAACGGCCGCGGCGCCCGATGCACCCGAAGATCCCGGCGAACACCTTGCCTCGATCGCGCCTTCCGCGGTCAGGACGCCGTCCATGATGCCCGATGTAAGCGCGTCCTGGTGCGAAAAGCAACGCGTGCCCACCTGTGCGCACCAGCAATTGCGCGTGCTGCTGAGCCCGATCGCTTGGAGTTCCGCGCCCTGCACCTGCTCCCGCTGCGTGGCCGGCCGCTGCACACCTGCGCACAGTTCCTGACTTGGCGCCACGCGGCCTGCTGGGCTCCAACCGCATCTCGCGCCGCTCCCGCGGGGCCGCTGCACGCCACGTCGGCAAGCGCGCCTCAGCCAGAGATACCCGATGTATTCCAGTCTGATTCCGTCACGGTCCTGGCTTCGTCTTGCCTCTGCCTTGTCCGGCGGCCGCCTTCTTGGCTCCAGGGTGGGGCGCGGACAGCGGCTGAGCAGGGGGCGGTCAAGGGGAGGCCACAGCTGCGGCGCAGTGGGCGGCGCTGGCTGGGCACGGCGCGGCGGCGAGGGCTGTCGCCGCCCAGTCCCCGTAGGGGGCCGCTCACGCGCCTGCAACTCCTCCGTCCCATCCTCCGTCTTTTCCTGCTGCTGCTGCTTCTGCTGCTGCTGCTGCTGCTGCTGCTCCTCCTCCTCCTCCTCATCGAAATGTCCTCTCCTCCTCTCCTCTCCTCCTCCTCCTCCTCCTCCTCCTCCTCCTCCTCTTCCTCCTCCTCCTCCTCCTCCTCTCCTCCTCCTCCTCCTGCTCCTCCTCTCTCTCCTGCTCTCTCCTGCTCTCTCCTCCTCTCCTCCTCCTCCTCCTCCTCCTCCTCCTCCTCCTCCTCCTCCTGCTTCTCCTCCTGCTCTTCCTCCTCCCTCCTCCTCCTCCTCCTCTTCCTCCTCCTCCTCCTTCTCTTCTCGTCTCCTCCTCCCCCTCCTCCTCTCCCCATTCCCCGAACCGTCCCCTCCTCCTCCTCATCCTCCTCCTCCTCCTGCTCCTCATCCTTCTCCTCCTGCTCGTCGTCCTCCTCCTCCTCCTCCTCCTCCTCCTCCTTGTCTTCCTCCTTCTTCTCCTCCTCGTTCTCCTTCCTCCTCATCATCATCATCAGTAGCAGCAACATCATCATCAGCATCAGCAGCATCATCATCATCAGCATCAGCAGCATCATCATCATCATCACCATCATCAGCATCATCGTTATCACCATCACCATCATCATCATCATCATCATCATCATCATCATCATCATGATCATGATCATCATCATCATCATCATCATCATCATCATCATCATCATCACCATCCTCATCCTCATCCTCATCCTCATCCTCATCCTCATCCTCATCCTCATCCATTCCCTCCTCCTGCCCCTCCTCTTGCTCCAATAATTGCGGAGGGGCCCGTGTAGAGCTCCAGCCCGCGTTAGCGAGATGGCATGCTGCAGCCAGAAAGGCACGCTGCAGCCAGGTAATGGCTGGTCACTAAACCCGCCGCTTGCCGATTGACTTGCGTACCTACGTTGTGACTGTTCTGTAAAGGCCCCCAGGGGTAGCACGTGTTGCCTTCCCAGACCCCCCTCCGTAACATTAACTTTTGGAAACCGGCCACAAGCGTGAGCCTTTGCAGCTTCCACAGGACAGTATAAGGAGTAAAGGCATCGACGTGCACGCAGGGCGAGTGCATTGTACACGGGCGCTGTGGTGCACGGATGCATTGTGGCGTACGCGTGCGTTGCGGTGCACATGACTGCTGTGGTGTCCACAGGCATTGCGGTGTTCACAGCAGGCGTTGTAATGCACGCAGGCGCTGTGGTGTACACAGGCGCTGTGGTGCACACGGCTGCTGTGGTGTACACAGGCATTGTGGTGTATGCAGGCGTTACGGTGCAGCAGAAGGATATCAGAGGCGCAGGGGCAGGACGATGAGGAGGTGGAGGAGGAGGAGGAGGAGGAGGAGGATGCGGAGGGGAAGTAGGAGGTGGGAAGGGGGAGGGAGCAAGATATCAGCATATTCACAGCCTCGTGGCCCCACAGGGGGCGGGCCTGCCATCCCGTGTCCAAAGAATATGCATGCCATGTTGTCCAGGTGGGCTAGCGGGTGCGTGGTGACGCGCGGCTTATTTGTCCCAGGGTTTTCGGCCAGCAGGGCATTCAAGTACGAGGCTTGCGCCATTCCGCCATGCGGTCGCCCCTGGCGCACTGGGGCTCACAAGCGCAACTTGGTGCTCGCAAGCTACTAATGTGCCCGCTGGCACGTTTGGCGTTGTGGTGTGCACGCAGACGTTCTGGTGCACGGAGGCACTGTGGTGTGCACAAGCATTTTGGTGCACGCAGGCACTGTGGTGTACACAGGCACTGTTGCGCACGCGGCTGCTGCAGTGTACACAGGCACTGTGGCGCGCACAGGCGACGTGGTGCTGTGGTGCACGCGACTGCTGTGGTGTACGGCGACACTGTGTTGTACACAGGCGGCGCTGTGTTGCACGCAAGCACTGGGCAGTGTCGTGTACACAGGGGCTGGTGCACACAGGCGATTGATGTGCTGGTGGCGCGAACCCACCCTGGCGGGTGCACGCCGCGGCCTCCGTTGTCGTTATTTGTTTGACCGCGCCCCCCTCCCGCCCCCAGGGTAACACGCGCTACCCCCGACGGCAAAAACAGTCACGTTCTCTTTCTCTTGCTCCTCTTACTCCTCCTGCCTCTGCTGCTGCTGCTGCTCTTCATCGATTTTTTCATGGCCCGGGGGCGTCCTTGAGTGATCCTAGGCGGAGTCCCAAAAACAGATTCGTCATCTTCTTCCTCATCATGCTCCTCATCCTCATTCTCGTCCTGATCCTTCTCTTACTTCTGCTGCTCATCACTCTTCTCATCTTCATGTGTCCCCCCCTCCTGCTCCCACTCGCCCCTTTCGCCTCATCAGGTGGTGATCCTGCTTATGGGGCTCATCTCTGTTCTCCAGGCGCGCCCCTGGGCTCAGCCTCCGTCGACAGCGGCGGAGGGCGCCCGTCCCACGGTGGCAGAGAGGCTGACTCGTACCCCATACAGCGACCCCCTCCTCGTCGTCCTCGCCCTCTATTTGTGTTCCTGCTTCTCGTGCCCCTCCTTTCCCTTCTTCTAGTCCTTTGATTCCTCGTCCCTCCTCCCTCCCCTGCAACCCCTTCTTCCTCCTCAGGGAGAGGGATTGGATGGATGAGAGCCCTGTGGAGGACGATGAGGCGGAGAAGGAGGAAACGGATGATCATGATGCTGATGATATTGAGGATGATGATGATGATGATGATGATGATGATGATGACTATGGTGATGATGATGATGATGATGATGATGATGATGATGATGATGATGATGATGATGATGATGATGATGATGATGATGATGATGATGTTGTTGGTGGTGGTGGTGATGATGATGTTGATGTTGCTGAGTGTGTTGCTGTTGTTGGTGATGATGGTGGCGATGATGCTGATGATAATTTTGGTGATGCTGATGCTGATGCTGATGCTGATGCTGATGGTGATGGTGATGGTGATGGTGATGCTGATGGTGCGGCTGATGATGATGGCGATGATGCGGATGCGGGTGTGGATGCTGGGAGACTTTCGCCTCGTGTCTTAGTGCACGCGCCCTGCCTCCTTCACGCATCCCTGCAGCCTTCTGGGGACAAGCAGATGCACCGGGGCCCCCGTGCGCGCGCTGCCGCACGCGTCGCGCGGGCCATCGAGGGCCCGCCCGCGGGCGGAGCGCCGAGGGCCTGCCCCGCGGGGTGAGGGCCGCGGCGGCCCCGCGCTCGAGGAGCGAACGCGGATGGCAGGATCCTCGGCGAGGATGCCGGCCGCGGTGCGAGCGCGCCCTGCCGCCGCGCCGCGCCGCGGGCGCAGCCGTGGCCGTGGCGGCCGCGGGCGCGGGCGAGGTCGAGGGGCTGGCGCTGCCAGCCCGTCGCGGCAGCGCAGCCGCCGAGGCCGCTCGAGTGCTGGCCGCGGAGCGGGTGGCCGCAGGCTCGAGCCCACACCCAAGCGTACGCTTCAGCGTGATGCTGGCGCTGTCGGTGGCGGTCCCCGGGCGGAGCCAGCGCCCGTGCGCCCGCTCCAGGAGAGCGAGGCTTCAGTCGGGCCTGTCCCCTTACACGGGGATCTTCGACGAACAACAGAATAAATACCCCAAACATAATAGAAAAATAATCCAAACATAGTATGGGGACTATTTTTTGAGTATTGTCCGACCTTTTTGGGGCATTGTTTGGATATTTTCAATTTGTCGTCGAAAATCACCCTGTTGGGGGACGCGCCCGATTTAAAACGAGGCCGAGAGTTCCAGGACCGCCCCAGGGCCCGCGCGAGGCTGCGCCGCGCGGCGCCAGGCTTCGGGCGCGCGCGGGGAGCTGCAGCCGAGGGCGCGGGCGCACGCTGCCCGCCAGGTACCTCTCTCACTGTCCCTGCTGCCGCATCCATTCTTCACAATCACTTGAACGGACTCATCAAGGTCCGTCCGATCCCGCCTGAAAGGGTCGCCGAGGTGTTTCCCACGGCGCGGTGGGCAGTAGAGCGGCTCGGATCAGGAACGCGTCCGCCTGCGGCCGCGCGCGAGGAGGAGACTGACGAGGACAGCCTTTCACCGACTCCTCGGAAGAGCAAGGGAGGAGGAGGCGGCCGCCATCGCCGTTCGCCCTCGGGGGGCCCCCACTCGAAGCTGGCCGAGCGGATTCGGGGGCGCGAGGGCCGGCGGGCCGGCGAGAAGTCGTCGCGGCGACTCGCTCCGAGAAGTCAAGAAAGAAGGACAGAAGGGGGATCAGTAGCAGTGGTGCGAGCCCGTCTTACGGCAGTTCGCCAGGTGGCCGCCCGCGGTCGGGCCCCGCCCGCCCGACCCTCTCCGCGCGACCGTGCCGAGCGTCGGTTGGGGAAGAGGCCGGGCGACATCGCCGAGCGCGCTCTCCGCAAGATGGCTATGCGCATGGGGAAGCGCGGGATCGAGTCTGGAAACGACTCGCGGCCCATCGCGTGCACGTGCTTGACCAGCGCGTTTCCCCCGAGCACGAAGGGCGCCGTCTCGCCTCGGAGCGACCCAGAGATGAGGGGGGCGGCGTCTGCTGGCGACGCGGCTCGCGCGACCGACGCGCTGATCCGGCAGCGCGAAGCCATCGAGCAGGCCCGCGACGATGGTGGCTGGAAGGCGGCGCGCCATTTGAGCGCGGCCCTTGGTGGCCGAGCCTCGGTCATGGAGGACTGCGAGTGCGACGAACTGCGCCGGGGCGAGGAGTGCGAGGTGCGGGCAAGGGGGATCGCGCAGCAGGCGGCGAAGGGAGGAGCCAATCACCGCCAGGCGCACTCAGCGGCTGCTGGGCCCCCAGAGCGGCCGCCGAGGCCAGCGCCGATCGACGCTGCGGGGAAGGGCCGGGGCGACCGCGGCCGTGGATCGCGAGCCCGCAGCCCGGCCACCCTTCGCGGAGCGGGCGAAGTCGAAGCAGACAGTCTGGGGGGCACTGCGAGGCGCGGCCCATCGGCGAGGGTCCACTTCGCCGACGACGAGGACGCGCGGGCCCGCTTCAACCCTGGCTGCCCCGCGGAAGAGGGGCGCGAGGGCGCCGTCGCCTTCGACCGGGGGCGGCCGCGGACGCGCGCGGGGGCGCGAACCCGCGGCCCGCTACTCCGACCGCCCTCGGGGCCCAGGCCACCCTCCGCCAGGGCCCAAGGAAGCCTCCGAAGACAAGAAGGTCAAGGGCAAGGGCAAGGGCGACGATCGCGGCACAAGCAAGGGCAACGACACGGACTCGAGAGGCAAGGGCGTCGCCCCAAGGAGCGACCCCAGGCGCTTCTGGGAGGCCCGCCGCGACGAGCGGAAGGGCAAGGGCAAGGCCAGGAAGCGAGACCCCCGAGCTCAGGGGGGGTCCAGGCCAGGGAGGCGGAGACCGGCTGAACTGGAGGGCGCGCGGTGGTTCCGCTCTGGCTGGCTTGCCCACGACGTGCGCTGGCGCCGTGGGGACTTCCTCTTGGCCGCCGATGCTCGCAGGTGCTCGGGCCAAGGTCCGCCCATTCCGGGATTGCGAATGCCGGATGCACTGGCTTGCGGCGTCGCCGGGCGCGGGCTCGGTCAAGCCCTTCGCTCTCCACGCCTGGGGCCCTCGCTCGCAGCGCCGCCGCGGGTGGGTCGGGGGGGGCGCGGCGCTAGACTCCCGCCTCGCGTCTTGGTGCGCTCCCCCCCCCCCCCCCCCTACTCGCGTTCCTGCAGCCTTCTGGGGCCGCTGCCCACCCCGCAACTGGCGGCGCTGCGGCCATCCGCGGGCAGGAGGAGCGCGACCACATCCGCCGAGGAGAGACCGTTCAGGCCGAGGAGTTGCGCCGCCGCGGCAAGGCTCGATGGCGCCCGCCCCACCTAAGGAGCTGCCCGCGGCTTCGGCTGCGAGGGGGGGCGGAGGCCCGCGGGCTGGCGCGCTGCCGTCGCTCGCCTTCCACTGCGGCGAGCCGAGGGCGAGGCGGGCGGCAGCGCCCTGCTGGGCCCCGCCCGCCAGCGCGCAGGCGCCCGCCGCGGCGACGCGAAAGAACGTGCGCGCACCGCGGCGAGGGGAGGTGGGCATTGGGGGGGGGGGCGCCGCCGCCACAATTGCCGCCGCTCCAACCTCGCGGTGCACCGCGCGGTGGCGGCGGTGGTGGCGGGGGGGAGGGGGGCGCCGCAGTGCTGGCAGGTGCCCGCCGCCGCCCCGACCTCGTCGCGGCGCCCCCGAGAGGCGGGGCGCTTCGCGAGGCTGGCACTCGCCGCCGCCCCAACCTCGCGGCGGCCCCCAGCGCGCCAGGAATAATTTAAATTGCGGGCCTGGCCCCCGCCGGCCCTCGCCGCAGCCCCACCTCGCGGCGCCCCCTGCGCGGCGGCGGGGCTGCGCCGCGAGGCTGGCCCCCGCCGCCGCCCCGACCTCGCGACGCCCCCCGCGCGGCGGGGTTCGCGGCAAGGCTGGCTCCCGCCGCCCGCCGCGCCAGTGACACTGCTAGGCCGGTCTCCGCCGCTGCCCCAACCTCGCGCCCCCGCCCGCCGCGGCGGGGGCAGCTGCCGCCGCCCCGCCCCAACCAGCGGGGGGTGCCGCGAGGTCGACCCCGCCGCCGCCCCAACCTCGCGGGGCCCCCCGTCGCGCCAGGGACCTTGCGAGGCGGGCCTCCGCCGCTGCTCCAACCTCGCGCCCCCGCCCGCCGCGGCGGGTGCTACCGCCGCCGCCCCAGCCGGCGGAGGGCGCCGCGTGGCCGGCCCCGCCGCCGCCCCGACCTCGCGGGGCCCCGCGCGATTGGAGCGGGGGGCACCGCGGGGCTGGCGGGGGCCCGCCGCCGCCCCAACCTCGCGGCGCCCCCGAGAGGCGCAGCGCCCCGCGAGGCTGGCCCTCGCCGCCGCCCCAACCTCGCGGCGGCCCTCGGCGCCAGGAAGAATTGAAGTTGCGGGGCTGGCCCCTGCCGGCCCCCGCCGCCGCCCCACCTCGCGGCGCCCCCTGCGCGGCGGGCGGGCGGCGCCGCCGCGCCAGGGACATTGCGAGGCCGGCCTCCGCCGCTGCCCCAACCTCGCGGCCCCGCCCGCCGCGGCGGGGGCTACCGCCGCCGCCCCAACCGGCGGGGAGCGAGGTCGACACCGCCGCCGCCCCAACCTCGCGGGGCCCCCCGCCGCGCCGGGGCGCGCCGCGAGGTCGGTCCCCGCCGCCGCCCCGACCTCAGAGTGCCACCCGCTGCGCTGGCGCGTGCGCGAGGCTGGCTCCTGCCTGCTGCCGCCCCAACCTCGCGTTGCCCCCCGCGCGGCGCGGGCGGGGGGGGGCGCCAGGCTCGCCCCCGCTGCCGCCCCACCTCGCGGCGCGCGGCGGGGGTGGCTGGCCCTTACCGCCGCCCCGACCTCAGACAACAGAGCACGCCCCGCGCGGCGCGGGGTGCCGCGAGGATGGTCTCCGCCGCCGCCCCAATCTCACGGCGCCCCACTCGCCGGGGAGCGCCGTGGAACTGCCCCCCGCCGCCGCCCCGACTTCGCGGTGCCCCCCGAGGTGCGAGGGGCCCCGCGCGGCTGGTCCCCGCCCCAACCTCACGGCGCACCCCCGCGCAGCGGAGGCTACCGTGAGGCTGGCCCCCGCCGCCGCCCCAACCTCGCGGCGCCGCCCGCCGGGCCAGGGAGCGCCGCGAGGCTGGCCCCCGCTGCGATCCCAACCTCACGGCACCTTCTCTGAGCGGCGACCGCAAGGCTGGCCCAGCCACCGCCCCGACCTCGCCGTGCCCCCCGCCGCGCGGCGGGAGGGGCCGCGAGGTTGGCCCCCGCCGCCGCCCCAACCTCGCGGTATCCCCCGCGCGCCGCGGGGCGCCGCGAGGCTTGAATTGCCCCCGCCGCCGCCCCAGCCCCACGGTGCCTCCTGCTGCGCAGGCCCCCGCTGCCGCCCCAACCTCGCGGCGCATTCCGGGCGCCCGAGGGCGCCGCGAGGCCGCCCCCCCTTGCTGCGGCGGGGGAGCTTCACGGCGCCCCCCGCCGCGGGGGAGAGCGCCGCGAGGTTGGGGCGGCGGCGGGGAGCGCCGTGGGCCTGTCTCCTGCGCGCCGCCCCCCCGACCCCACGCCGCCCCACGCCGCGCCGGGGGAACCGCGAGGCTGGCCCCCACCGCCGCCCCAACCTCGCGCTACTTCCCGCGCGCCCGAAGGCGCCGCGAGGTTGGCCCCCGACCTCGCGGCGACCCCCGCCGCGCCAGGGGCGCCGTGAGGCTGGCCCCCGCCGCCGCCCCAACCTCGTCGCGCCCCCCCGCTGCGCTGGCGGGCACCACGAGGCTGGCCCTAGCCGCCGCCACCAGGCTGGCCCCCGCCGCCGCCCCAACCTCACGGTGCTCCCGCGCGGCGGGGGGTGCCGTGAGGCTGGCCCCCAGCGCCGCCGTCCCAGCCTCGCGGCGCCCCGCCGCCGCGCCTGGGGGGGCCGCGAGGCTGGCCCCCGCCGCCGCCCCAACCTCACGGTGTCCTCTGCGCGGCGGGGGCATCGTGAGGTTGGCCCCCATCGCCGTCCGCCCGGTTCTGCCTTCGGCCGCGCCAGGGCCGCCCCCCGGCGTCACCGACGCGGGCGCGGCCGCCGCCCGGGCGCGGCCGGGCCCCGCCTCGGTGCCGCCGAGCCAGGCCAGGGGGGAGCAGGAGCGGGAGGGCCGTGCCCTCGAGCGTTCAACCACGGCGAGGGCTGCATCCACTTGATGGCTCTGGTCAGAACTCACCGCAGGGACGGGATACAAGCCCGCGATGCCCGAGAACGGCCCGTGGAGGCCGATCTCGACGGCCCCTGGGGGTCGATCTCGGGCGTCGGGGCTTCGAACAGCTACCCTGGCGAACATATGCGCTCGCGCCGAGGATGGGGTCGAGACCTCGGGGGCCCGCGTCCTGAAACAATTGCGAATGGTAGGAATAGCTAGGAATGGGTAGGAATAGCCAGGAATGGGTAGGAATAGCTAGGGCTAGGTAGGGATACGAGAGCTAGGGATGGGGGGAATACATAGGAATAGCTCGGAGTTGGTAGGAATAGCTAGGAATAAGCAGGAGTCGCGAGGAAGAGGTAGCAATGGGTAGGAAAAGCAAGGAATAGGTAGGAGCAGCCAGGACAAGCTATGAATAGGTCGGAATAGGTAGGAATAGCTATGCATAAATATGGATTGCCAGGGGTAGCTTGGAATATTAGGAATGAGTAGCTCGGAATCCGCCGACCTCCGCTTGCCGGGGGTGAAAGAGCGCGCGAGATGATTTCGCTGACCTTCGTGGCCCCGATGTAGCTTCTCGCTGCCCTTCCTGGCCCCTTTGCAGCTCTCAATGGCGCCCTTTCAGTTTAAGGCTGCGCCAATTACACGTGGCAGGGAAGAAAGATATCCCCTCTAAAGGGGGCGCGGTCGAAGGCGAAGAGGGCGTGTATCCAGGGTTTGGGAAACACATGTTGATTGGCACGCACGCGTATAAGAGCGAACATAATACATTGATGGTTGATGATGCTGATTCTTATTGGAGAGGCCTGACGGCCGGTGCCGCCGACCCTGATCGAAAGGGCTAGGAGTGGGGGGAGGAAGCGGATGATGATGATGAGGAGGAGGAGGAGAAGGAGGAGGAGGAGCAGGAGGAGGAGGAGGAGGAGGAGGAGGAGGAGGAAAGGGAGGAGGAGGAGGAGGAGGAGGAGGAGGAAGTGCATCCTTTGTGTGCCCGTTCGAAGAAAGTGCGCCCCGGGAGTGTGATATTCTGACTTGGGACGTGCTCCCGGAAGAGGAAGAAGTGCATCTCGGGCGTGCCCGCTCGAGGAAAATGCGCCCTAGGGGGGTGGTATTTTGACTCGGGGCCCGCTCCCGGGACGCCTCTGCGAGGAGGAGGAGGAGGAGGAGGAGGAGGAGGAGAAGGAGGAGAGGAGCAGGAGGAGGAGGAGGAGGAGGAAAAGGAGGAGGAGGAGGACCAGGAGGAGGAGGAAGTGCATCCCGTGCGTGCCCGCTCGAGGAAAGTGCGCCCCGGCGGGCGTCGTATCTGCCCCGGCCCCCCCCCCCCCCTCCCTCCCTCCCCCTGCGGGGAAGGGATCAAAGGGAAGGGGCTTCCCTTCGACTCCACTACGACGTCGTTTAATTTCGCTTTGGATAGCGCGCTTGAGGACCTGGGAGGGGGAGAACGGAGACGACGGATACGACGACTCGAACGGAGAAGCCTCTCACACACGCCGACAGGGTCGGCGGATTATACTTAGTGGTAGTATGATTGTGATGGTGATGTTGATTGCGATGGTGGTGATGGTGATGGTGGTGGTGTGAAGCTGATGATGATGATGATGATGATGATGATGATGATGATGATCATGATGATGATGATGATGATGATGATGATGATGATGATGATGATGATGATGATAATGATAATGATGATGATGATGATGATGATGATGATAATGAGGCAGCATCATCAGACGGTGCTGGTGTTGATGGTGAAGATGTTTTTGATCATGCTGATGCTGATGATAATGACGATGATGATGATGGTGATGATGATGGTGATGATGATGGTGATGGTGATGATGATGACGATGATGGTGGTGGTTGTGGTGATGAGTATGATGATGTTGGTGGTGCTGATGAGGGTGATGACGATGACGATGACGATGACGATGATGATGATGATGATGATGATGATGATGATGATGATGATGACGATGACGATGACGATTATGATGATGATGATCATGATGATGATGATGATGATGATGATGATGATGATGATGATGATGATGATGAGGATGAGGATGAGGATGATGATGAGGATGATGATGCTGCTGATGATGATAATGATGCTGATGCTGATGCTGATACTGATGATGATAATGATGATGATGAGGAGGAGGAGGAGGCGGAGGAGGAGGAGGAGGATGAGGAGGAGGAGGAGGACGAGGAGGAGAAGAAAAAGGCGGATCATGCTTATCGGACTTACCCCCGTCCTCCAAGGTGTGCTACCAGGCCTTCGTCATGAGCCAGATCCACGAGGTGGAGGAGCCGGAGCAGCTCCAAGACGCCTGCGAGGCCAGTTTCGGAGGCGAAGTGTCCTACCAGTGCCTCGAGCAGCGCGTCTACCAGGGCTGGCAGGAGGACGCCCGGCTCGAGGAGCAGGAGGAGATTCTGCAGAGCACCCAGATGACCGGCCACGAGGATCGGGCGACGAGAAGTGTGCACACACACACACACCGACCTTGGCCACGCCCATCCTGGACCCAGGCCGGTGTAAATGCTTTCCTGGCCGAGACAGGACGGCCTATGCACCGTCCTTGGGCTCAGGATGAGCTTGGCGGATCGGTGCATGTGCATCGTGCCCTTCCCTTCTGGAGGACCACCACAAGGCCCACGTGGAGCGCGTCGTCACCGCGGTCGCCGAGCTGGCGGCCGCGAAGGGGCCAGATATCCTGTGGGAGGAGCACAGGAGCGCCATCCACGCCGCGATCGAGGCGTCGGGGACGCCAACGATAGCCCTGGCCAGGCCGAACCCTGGGAACGGGACTCGTGTGCACGCCCTCCTGGCCTGGCCAAGAGGGCGTGCACACCCGTCCCCAGAGATCCGAGGATACGATTTTTGCCAATCCCAGGGTTTTTCCAGGATTTCGGCCTCCAGGGCCCGGCATCGGGCCTGGGGACCATCAAAAGTGGATCCGGGACGAAAAGCCACCCACGGGGAAGCGGTCGGGACCTTTACGGGGTAGCGGATTGAGAAGATTATATAGGGGGATGTTTGGGTCCCTGGCCCAGGACGGGCCTGGCGAGACTCGGTGCTGGTGTATACGTAGTCGGCGTCCTCCTCAGGTGAAGCACAATGCGCTCCCAGATGGCGAGAGGGAGAATGCCAAGGATCGGTGGCCTGCTCTGAGAGCTGCCGCCGCTGTAGGCTGGCGACCGCCGATCCACGGCAGCGCGTTGTTGCGTGCGGCCAGCCCTTCGCGCGGCACGGCACCACCCCGGGCCAGCGGCCCCTGGTATGCACGGTTCAGAACTTCTGCTCAGCTTGCAGCACCGCCGTTTTTTGCCCACCACGCTTCGGCGCGACGCGCTGGCCACGCCTCCTTTCCTGGCCCCCCCCTGCCCCGCGGAGCGGAGCGTCACGCCATCAGCTTGCAAGGCAGAGCGTGTCGCGGGTGCCGCCGCCGCGACACGCTGAGCAACCGTTCATGACCGTACAGGCGCCCTGGATTAGCAGGTCTACCTGCCAAGTCAAGGGTACCCTTGCTTGGCATCGCTCGGACGTGTGCATTTTTCTTTCGGCGAGGAGCATCGAGGAGCATCCTTGATCATTTGGCGGAAAAACCAAGCACGAAACTGAACAAAAACACAGGGAACGGACGTCCGAGCGATGGCGAGCTTGTGCCCTGTGTCTCGCGACCCATGCCTCCTACGTTCCTGCGGCAGCGTGGCACTCGGAAGGGTCTCGTGTCCTCTCGCGTGTCCTGTCCGGTCAAGGCCGACTGCAGCGGCGGCAGCGAAAGCCGGGCCCGCCACAGGAGATCCACTCTGTCCACGGCGACCGCCTCCTCGACGCCTCGCTGCAGGCCGTGCACGCCAAGGAGGCCGGCGACAGCATCGAGGACATCAAGCAGCGGCTGCTCGACTACCAGCTCGAGCACGAGCGGCACCGGCAGGCTCTCGGGCGGCGAGGGTCGTGCCATCCGCGAGGGCCGGGCGTCGCAGGCTTTTTCAACCGGGCGCTCTTCCCCGGCTTCGGGACCCCGGGACCCCGACGGATTCTATGCTTAAGTCGGGCCTGTCCCCCTACAGGGGGATTTTCGACGACAAATAAGAAATACCCTAAAAATAATAATACAAAAATGCGTATATTATCCCAGCAAAGCAACCTAACAGCCATGTGTATGAGCACATATGGAAACATTCTTCTTTAGATTCATGTTCGGATTTGAGTGGAAGCGAAACGCTGCGATCAATAGTGGACGTGTCTGCAAAGGAGGCACTACTATCAACGAGACAGCACATTCTTTTTGTGCTCATTCCAAACGAGACGCTGCTATGCAGGGGTGTAGGTGCAAACGAGACGCTGCTATCAATGGTTTCCGCCCCAAACGAGACACGAGTATCAATGGATTTAATTTCGAACGAGACACTACTACTTACTACTACGGATGCGTCTGGAAACGAGACGCTGCTATCAATAGTGGATGTCTTTGCACAGGAGGCACTGCTATCAACGAGACAGCACATCGTTTTTGTGTTCATTCCAAACGAGACGCTGCTATCAATGGATGTAAGTCCAAACGAGACACTGCTATCAATGGATTCAGCCTCAAACGAAACGTGCTGAGGAGCACCGTATCTCACTATCCACGGCTGCGCACGAGTGCAGGTTGAGAAGCACCACGCGAATGCAGGCTGAGAAGAACCACGCGAATGCAGACGGCCAGGCTGAACAGCACTGCCACAAAACAGGCTGCATCTCAGGGCTCCTCAAGCTCGCGCAGGCCAGCCCAGCGCCTGTCGGGCTTTCGCGCAGGCGATTTTTGTCGTGGCAATCTTGTCTGCGAAGAATTCGTCGAAGGCCTTCGCGATCTGTTCTGGGGGGCCTGACTCGATGATGCTCCGGTCAGGCAAGCCGTGGCTCAAGAGCTGGCCGAAGCTCTGGGGACGCGACAGGCTGACGTAGTAGGCCAGCCAAATGGACTGTTTCTTGGGTCCTGGCGGAAGCGTCCAGTGCACGATGAAGCCTGGGTCCGCCGTCTTGCCCTGCACGCCATGCAGAGTGCCCTGCTTCTTGGGCAGCACGGTCAACTGTGTCCTGGAGACCGCGATGGCCGGGCCATCCGCCGTTGCTTTGAACTTCCAGGGGCGGGCCTGCGGGGTAATCGCGAGCACTCCGCGCAGGTCAGGGCCGGCAGGCTGAGAAGCACTGCCAGCAGTCACCGGCGCGGCCTTCAAGAAGAGCTCATCGCTGTCATCGATCTTGACATAGACGGCCTTGGGCATGTAGCGAAGTACCGCAACACCATCCGAGACAACGGGCGCGCGACCCTCCACCGGAGGCTCCAGAGCGTGCTGCTTTACGCCTACCATCATATTATCGCTACCCGCTAGGTTCTGTAGGTCTGCGACTTCCAAGAACACCCTCCACAAATCCTCTCCGCCCACCTTGTCACATGCCCCCAAACAATCATCAACGCAAGGTCGTGCGTTTTGAAAAATTACTTATGGTTGCAACGTTCCTTCATTAAGAAGCCCCCCTCTCCTGTCTTGGCCCTGCATTCGGAAACCCCGTTCCATTCACCCCCCCGCCTTTCGTTCACGCGTTCTGAGGCCAGGACGCCAGTGTACGGGGCGGGGATTTACGCGCCCACAACGAGGGAGAGACTGTAGAGAGCGAGGGAGAGAGAGAGAGAGAGAGAGAGAGAGAGAGAGAGAGAGAGAGAGAGAGAGAAAGAGAGAGAGAGAGAGAGAGAGAGAGAGAGAGAGAGAGAGAGAAGAGAAGAGAGAGAGAGAGAGAGAGAGAGAGAGAGAGAGAGAGAGAGAGAGAGAAAAAAAAAGACAGAGAGAGAAAGAGAGAGAAAGAGAGAGAAAGAGAGAGAAAGAGAGAGAGAGAGAGAGAGAGAGAGAGAGAGAGAGAGAGAGAGAGAGCGAGGGAGACTTGTAGAATTGCCCGAACTGTAGAGAGCGAGGGAGAGAGAGAGAGAGAGAGAGAGAGAGAGAGAGAGAGAGCAGAAAACAAGTTTCGGCAGCAGAGGCGAGTAGCTTGCCCTTGATATCCTCCTCACCCTCCTCCGCCGCCGTTTTGGCTCAAACGTGCTCTCGGCGCGCGTTTCGCGTCGCCAGCGTTCTGCGGACGACGGAGTTCGTCTCGACGACGCGTAGCCTCGACCATCCGCTGCGACGGATGGCGGCGCAGGGGCCGCCCGCGGCGGGCATCGGCGGCGCGGCCGTCGGCCTGCAGCGCAGGCGGGGCGACGCGAGAGTCGCGCAGGACGCCGCGAGGGAGGCGAAGCGGCGGCGGCGAGAGGCGCGAGAGGCAGAGGAGCAGCGCGCTCGTGCCGCGCCCGCGCCGCCTGCGGTCGCTGGAGACCTGCGCAGCCGCCCCGCGCCTCTCACCGGCCACCCGCTGCTGGCGCGCATCGGCGGTCTCAGTTCCGATCCTGGGGCGCAGCGTTTTCGAGATGTCTTGCCTCGGCCGTCAGATGTTGCGACTCCATTGTACGACCCTGCTTCTCGGCCGCTGGCCTTCGCCACGGCCGCTCTGCAGCGCGAGAGAACTGGAGCGTCGTTGGAGACCTTTTACAAGCATTTTGTACATTTGAATAGCCTGGTCTGGCTTTACGACCGTCTTTACCGTAAGATGTTGGTTGAATCGTGTTGTCGGTCATCAGTCGCCAAGGCGCTCCGCGTGATCGACGATGTGGCTTGTGACGAGACGCCCCTCCGCGTGCGCCAAGTTGATCGGCCCGGGGGTCTCGTCGCCCCTCCCGGCACTGCGGAGTTCTCCTTGCCTGACTCCTTCCTGAAACTGCTCCCGTCTTCGCAGACGTCGGCGCCAACGAAGATTCTGCAAGCGCAGCGTCATTGGGGCATCTTGATCAGCAAGGAGGTTCGTGGTGTCACCAAATATATCATATTTTATGGGCGAACGTTGTGCCATCTCCGGGCGACGTCGCGTTATGCGCCAGGCGCGGTGCTGCGGTGTTTGGCAGAATCCGATTCGATGGGTTTAGCAGATCTTCTCTTTGAGTCCGGAACCCGACTGGTTTCGATCGATCGTCATTTCTCGAACCTGGCCGCGGAGAGGCGCACGCGGACACGGCTTTTCGGCAGAGCGCCATCGACGAGGTCACTTGCCGTACCGCGTCGGCAGCGCATGCTTCAAGGCATGAGGATTCAATCAACGTTTCTTTTCGAGGATTGCATTTCGTTCATGATAAATTCGACGTGGGTGTTTGAAATTATTTCGGTCCTGCTTGGGACTCTACTTGAGGAAGAATATTGTGGTTAGGGGGGGGGGGGGGGGGTCAATTTGCGCGGCGTCGAGGCCCGTCGGCATCTTATCTTGAAATGGTTTACCCCGTCAAGCGGGCGCGAATGGATTGTCGGGGTTATTTTGGAAGCACTCGCCGCGTGCGACTGGGATGTAAGGCCTCGGCGGACGAGATCGTGATCTTTATGCAGCCCGGCGTCGAATGCGACAAGGAGGTGCTCAAAGAGATGGCCATTGCTGGGATCTGCCACGCTTTTTCAAACCGTCCTCCCAAGATGTTCACGAGGAGCAAATGGATGGGGGCGGAGGAAGCACCTTGTGCAGTTGCGTTGATGGTTCTGTTCGGTGGTTGTTTGATCCTTGTATACGAGAACTTTTGTGCAATAATGAATGGTAGACCGTCGTCGGATAATGCCCCAATTGGTGCTGGCGTGATCCCAGGTGGTGACGGCGGCGGCGGCTGTGCACTCGTTGCTTTCAATGCCGATTGAGCTGCTGCTGGAGGCGACGGTCAGTCTTCTGGAAGCGCCTATCTTTGGGCAGAAGAAAATGCAGCCCGTAGAACACGAGTGTTGGATTGTCTGCACCGTAAGGGCGCATCGCCCTGCAGCCACTTAGTATGCTTGCGGATGATTCTGTCAGTGGTGCAGGGGATGCAGCGTCAGGAGTTGTGCATGGGCTCTGCGCGGTGGAACCAGCGCGAAGATGCTCGGGCAGCTCGCGAAGCGGTTCGGCAAGACCCTGATCGAGACCGAGACAGACGTTTTCTTCAACGTGATTTCTCGGTGTTAGTGCACGCCCGAATGGACATCGAGAGTAGAGCTTTTCGACAGTTGCGTATCTTGTTCTTCAACAGGGGTGTATGGATTATCTTGAGGGAGGCTGACTTGGCGAATAATATGAAAACGCAGTGCTTCAAGAGCATGTCCCGCCTGGGCGCGCTCACCGAGAAGCTCATGGCACCCGCTCATGCTGCGCCTCCTTTCAGCCTCTTCTTGTCCATTGACCAGTCGACTTTGGCAAAAGCCTTAAAGGAGAGGCCCGCTTGCCTCCTGGACCGCTGGAGTTATCATTTCATGCAAGAGAATGGTCTAGAGGCCGAGTCTAGTCGAATGAAGTTGGCTCTGCACCTCGCACTCCTCACGATGAACACTGACCATCTCGAGGTGGAGCAGTCCCACATCAGGCGGTGTACTACCAAGCGGGCGCAGTGCCGACAGGAGGACACCAATGGCCTCAGCGGGAAGTGGCTCGCGAACCAGGTGAGACTGGACCCCTGTGGCCTCAGCGGGCCCGCCGCAGCTTCGGCGCGCCGATCGGGGGCGAGGCCCATCGCGTGGCGCCGCCGAGGAGCAGGGCCAGGATGCCCCTGGGCCTGGTGGAGGCGCCTGACGAGCATTCGCGAGGCGCATGGGGATGGCCGACCTGTCGCGCGTCGGGGAGCTGTACCGCGCGGCGAAGGCCGCGGTCGGCGACGAGGTGATGGCCCAGTGCATCGAGGAGGGCAGGCGAGCTACACTGCTTCGGCGGCAGCGCGGCACTACTGCCAACTCCTTCGGCCCGACCAGGCGGGATTTGCAGCGCGCCGCGCTGGAGCACGCGCTGGCCGCTAGAGTTGGCCCCGACCAGCCCGACCCGAGCAGCGGGAAGGACGTGCTGGACAAGTTCGCCCAGGAC